ACAGTGAAAGATGACAACGGAAAGAATTTCTGTGGTAGTGAAGATGAAACAGTTGTTGAAGAGAGAAACTTGAAGATATCAGATATTATGTGCCTTCAAATGGATTTGAAGAAAATAATAGATGAGTTCAAGATACTAGTTAACGGGAATGATTTATCATTAGGTATCGATCCATTATATTGTTTCAAATGTATAGTTGAAGGTAATATAGAAACAATAGAAGAGATAGAAAAAGAAATTAAAGCATTCAAAAAGAGAAACATTCTCTTTATTAATGCATTGAAAGAATTAAAGAAAAGAAGAGAAAGAGAAGATCGAATCGATAAACTAGAGAAGAAGAAACAAGAAGAGACAAAACCAGAGAGGAGAAAAACTAGACCTCTCTAGTTTAATTTAATTTAATTAATTTTAAAATTTTGTTATTTATTTTTTGTTATTCAAAATTTTAAAAAAGAAAATAATTTGTTATTTAAACAATAAGCAATAAGCAATAATAAAATAATAATAAAAAGGAATAAAAAGCATTCAATTAAGATGTCTTACATCGAGAATATAAATGCGATGTAAAATATAAGTCAACAACGAAACAAGTCGTTGACTATTAAGTAGCATAGCATTTAAATCAATTATAATAAAGTTCAACATATCGAACATTTTCTTTGTGTACTTCATGTTATAACGATGGAACCAAATATGGAACCAATATACCAAAGAGTACAAAAATGTTCGATTAAACTCGGATATTTCCGAGTCAAGGAATTGTTGAACTATAAAGCCTATTTCCTTTATTAAAGAGGATAATAATGGCTTTTTGACTCTAGGAGGCATTGAATGCTATCTATATTATTGCTGTTTAAATAACAAATTAAATGGCTGATATGAGGTAGTATATGAGGTTATAAATGACTTTTAAACTATAATTAATAATAAAAATATAATATAATAAAAAAAGAAAATGTCTGTTTTGTCTCTCCATCTGTCTGAATGCCTGTTACATCTTAATATTTAAACCAGTGAAGAGGGATATCAAACATAACAACATGTGCGACTCCCCCGAAGAAAGAAGTATGCAGCAGAGACTGAGCAAGGTCAAAATATCTGATTTAATTGATTACTTCAGAGGTATTGACGACTTGAAATATCTCTGTTCCGATTTTTTGGATTGCTTTGATAAAGAACAGAAAACTCCTTGTAATCTGCCCAAATATGATCTGTTGATGGAGAAAGAAGCAGAACTCGTGAAAGAAATTCACGATACGGCGAAAGAGATGATAGAAAATTATGCTGAAATCATCTTGTCATATGAAGAAAGAGCTGCAGAAAGAGAAAGAAAGGAGCAGATAGAAATAATAAAGAGACTGGAAAAGAAACCTAAACTTCCCAAAGTCGATTAAAATTAAATTAATTAAATTCTTTTTAATATTATTTTGTTTATTAAATAAAAAATAAATAAAATAAAAAATAGTAAATTAACGATTATTCCAAATCATTAACGAAATGGAAGTTTTCAAGTAACTCTAATAAACCTCCTAGTTTATTAAAACGTTTATCCTTAGTGCAAGAATCGACGAAACCTGTAAGGTAATAAAATAAAACATCACTATAATTATAGTGTGTCTCCTCAAACCTCCTCATAAAATAGAGGATAGAATAGATTAGACATTTAGTGTCCAAATCCAAACTATCACTCTCGAGGAGACCTTTACAGGTTTCGTCGATGTCTTGCACAATTGAAGACAAGAGGGGGAACATCGAATAAAATAAAAAGTACCTTTGTTTAAATAACAAATAAAACGTGTAAACAACACAACAAACAGACACTCAAAGAGGAATTTCTAAATTAATTGAATTATATTTTTATTAATCTTTATAGTTTAAAAATCATTTTCTGCCTCATACATTACCTCATATCAAAAACAATCCGGAAAAGATAACGAAAAGAGATAAATTAACCAACCAAATAAACAGACAATGAATAAACAACACGTAGACATTTAAATAAAAAGGTCCAACAAATCATTTGATAACATCGAACAATGAGTAGCTTACTCGATAGATACTATTCCTTTAATGCAATGCATGGCTTCCTCACATTGAACTTCGATGCTAACCATCCATCTCTCTCCACTCCAATATTAAAGCAGATGGTGGAAAATTGGTGCTCCACGAAAACAAATAAGGCTGAAATAGAATACTTGGCCGTAAGTAATACCAAGGGAAAGAATGCTCATGCTCATGTATTCTTTAAATTAAACGAAAGAGCAAAAGTTCATAAAAAACCAGTTGCTAAAATAAATAATATAGAATACAAATTAGTATTCACCCCAGTCACGGAACATAAGAAATTTGATGGATCATTTCAAGCAATAATAAAATATCTGAAGAATCAAAACAAAAAACACGGAGCAGAATCTACTTTTGACGAAATTGGCAAAGAAGAAGCAATAAAAGGAAAAGTGGGAAATAACCTAGTGGAACAAGCACTATCATTGGAAAATTTGAAAGAGGCGGAAGGATTATTGAGACAGGCAAGCATGACCTGGTATTTAAATAATGTAAAAAAATTTAGAGAAATATGGAGAGAGCAACACAGCAATAAGCAGCCGAACAGAATTAACATAAAACTTAGACCCTGGAAAGAAGACAATATCCTTGTAAAAAATGCCAGAGCTTGGCTCCAGGGGGTTAGGTTAAAATGTCGAAGCAAAAAAGAGTGAAGACACTAGTTCTTCTTGGAGAAACCAGAATAGGGAAGACAGAGTTCGTAAATGATCTTCTCAAGGGGCTAAAAGTAGATGAATTTAGAGGACATTTTATGTTCGATGGTCATGACGAATATAAGAACTATGATATTCGTCTGTTCGACGATGCCAATTTAAAAGAGGTAGAATGGTTCGAATTCAAAGCTTTAATATCAACGAGGGGTGAGACGATTACCATGAATATAAAATATGATCACATAAATGTAACCAGTCTTCCCACTATAATAGTAATGAATACTAAAAACTGGGATCTAATGAAGAAAATAGCTAAAGAGCATAATGATTTAGATTGGCTCGAAAAAAATACGGCTGTTCTTTACTCAAAGGAGCCCCTCTTTGAAAGACCAAAAGAAATTAGAAGAACCATAGAAGAACTAAAGAAACAATATGGTGATTTGGATCCAGCCATATTGGAGATGTTTGATGAAGAAGACATCCAACCAGATCAAGAAGAAGGAAGTGAAGATAGCTCCTCAGAATTCCAATTACAAGAACCACTTCCAGCTATAATTAATCCAGAAATAACCTTGAGATTGCCAGATGATGACTTTATTCCAGAACCAGAAAAAAAGACTCAGAGTGCCATCAATAGAAGATGATGAAGAACTTGCATCAAGATGGCCTCGTTATGGAGATGAAATTAATTAACTAATTTTTGGTTTATCTTTTATTTTTTATTTTTAAAATGAGCTATTGGTATAGACCAAATGTGTTAAAAAGAAAATGGGGAAGTTATGGAAGTATTCATAACAACCAGTATTATAATGATTACAACGATAGTACATTCTTTAATGAAGTAAATACTACTTATGATCCAGATGATGGAGAAGATGAATATTTTGAAGAAGATGATGTAGATTTACATCCAAATAGTTATGAAGCTAATAATTATTTTGATCCAGACAATGAATCAGAAAGAGTAAATAAACCAGACTTGATTAATGAAGAATTTAGTAAAACAGAAGAATCAATATTTGATGATCCAGATTATGAAGAATATAATAAAGAAATGAATGTTAATGAAGACCCAATTGAAGAAAACGAGGAAGAAGAAAATGAATTACCTCTAAAAACAATAGTTGATCCAGAAAATCCAAATACTATTTATACATATGATAATAATACAATTGAATTGTTAAAGGATATGAAAATAAATATTAACAATAAAAAAGAAATAATAAAAGCATTGTAAAATATACAAGATGACATTAGACAAAACAATTATGAGAATTTAAAAAATGCAATAAAAGAAGAAGGAGTAGATAATACAATCCCTGTAATAGAAGAAAGAGGAGATGATATAATAGTACAGAATATAGATTATGATGAAATAAAAGATAAACCAATGGAAGAAGAAATAGAAATACATAAAGATGAAAAAGAACCAGATAGAAATATTATACCACCTAGACCACCAAGAGAGAATAGACATTCCATTAAACAATGGATAGATAAAAATAGAGATAATTCCAAAAGAAAACATCATTTAGAAGATACTAATGAATATCAAGAAAAGAGAGATTTTGAACGAGGAATATATTTAGAAGAATTACAACAATTCTTACCAATAGAAGAGAAAGAAGAAAGAGAAGAAGCAATAAATGAAACAAAAATAGAAATTCCACAAAATGAAGCATTGAACGAAAAAGAAGAAGTTCAAAATGATGAAACAATGAATAATTCATTACCAAATGAAAAAATGCAAGAAAAAAGAGAAGAGAAAGAAGAAAAAAGAATTAAAAAACCAGTTATTGTTAAGAAAGAACGAAAACTCAAAGAAGTTAAGAAGATTGATTCTAAATTTAATTATAAAGAACTCTTCGGTGACGTTAAAAACAGAAAACATGAAGTTGATGAATTGGAAAAAAGATATAGATTACTTGCTAAAGACATATCACTCAATTATAAACCAACACAAAAGAAAGAAGAAAATGATTCCAAAAATATTCTACCAGAAGAAATTAAACCAATAATAGAACAAGAAGAAGAAGATTTAAGAGTTGAAGACATTCCAAAAGAGTTAACAATAAAAGATCAACAAAAATATTGGAATAACTTTAAACATAATGACGAAAACGTTGATGTAAATGAAGGAGAAGAAGAAATAGAACAAGGTATAGAAGAAGTAGAAGAACCAGAAATAGAATATGAGTACGAGTATGAGTTCTAGTAATGTACTCTGAAAAGAGATAAATTGAGTATTTAAACTATTTATTTTGAACTGTTTAATCATACCATGACTACAAGCATTAAAGACATCATTGCTGATTTCGCCTTAGGAAAATACAAAGAAATGGGCGATGAAGAACTGATAGAAACAATGAATAAGTTAATGTACATAATCGATGATGAGACATCCACAGAAGAAAAAGTGGCATTAAAAAAGCCATACTGGTCTCTCGTCTATAGAATAGCCAATAAGAAAGGCTTAATGTGGAATAAGCCACAGATTAAAAAAGTAAAGACACCAGAAGTACCAAAGAAAGAATACAAAACTAAATTTGTATTAAAAGATAAAAAGAAAGAAGAAGAAACTAAACCAAAGAAAGAAGATAATTGATTATTTATTATAAAATTTAATTTTTCCATTTATTGTTTTAAAATGATTAATTTTATCATCATCAGGTGATACTCTAAGTAATACCTTTTCATAATCAGCACGTTTATCACTTATTCCCCATTGTTTTAATTGTTTATAAACATTCTTCATTACTTCAAATCTATCTTGTCCGCTTTGTACTTTATTAAAATGAGGTTGTTTATATAAATATTGATGTAATCCTCTTCTTTCAAAATCAGATGGTTTAAAGATAGTACCTTTATTATCACTTCTATTTGTTCTTGCACCAATATGAATTTTATGATAATAATCATCAGAAGAATGTGTACTAATAGCTTCTGGTACTGGAATATATTGCAAACTTTCATATCTTCTCATAACATTTGGTTCAAATGCAACATCTTCAATTCTCTTCCATAATTCAGGTGGTAATACACTTCTAATATATTGTTGACTAAAATTCAATTGGTCTAAATCATCATCCATTAATTTATGTTGATTAGTCAAATCATTTAATTTATCAACAACAATATCACTAATCGGTTTAATAGCATCCAAATACTTTTGTATAGCCAAAGGAGCAAGAACACCAGACATTTGATCTACAATTGATGAATCTAAACATTTTTCCCCTTCTGGTGTTGTTTTAAAACAATTTCCATTAACACGAATAACTTTTCCTTTATACAAAACGGGTAATGTCAAATTTATATCCTCAGGATGAGTAAGATAATACAAAGCTAATTCTTTCTCTCCAAAAATAGTAGAAATATATTTATCAACAATTTCAGGTCTATTCTGAATTGCCATCTTAATTAATTCAAGTGCAGTATTCTTCTCAAATAAATCTCCTTGTTTGTATCTCTTTTCCAAATATTTATATAAATTGTTTCCTTTTATTGCCTCATTAAACTCTTTGAATTCTTTAATATTAAAAATGGAAGAAACACCAAAAGCTTTTGCAATATCAGTAAAATATCTCGAACCATATTTTTTATATCCATCAACAATCCCTCGAATCAATGAAACATCTAAACGAGCAGATGGATCAAAAAGACTCTTACCATCTGTCATTTCCCAAAATTTATCTTTTATAAAATCTTTAATAATTGTTACTGGTTTCTTCTCTTCAATAAAATTATCAACTACATCAATAACACCTTTTACTTTACTTTGTAAATCTTCAGAATCAATTACTTTCTTTACATTTGGTAAAGATGGAATATACTTCTTTATTTTTTCTTTATCAAATATTTTCCCACCATCATACTTAGAAGTACTAAATGGTTTATATTTTGAACTATCAACTCTCCTAGAATTATCAAAAGGACGAATACTTAGTGGATTAGTTCTGTTAGAAATACTAAAAGGATGATATTTCTGTTGATTACTTCTTCGTATTCCATCATAATTAAATCGTATAGATCCATATGAACCATATCTTCTTTTATGAAGATTTAATCGTTGTTTTCTCTTCTTAACCAAACACATTAAAATAAAAAGTTAATTAGGAATTAAAGTTTTTACTACTTCTAATACTTCTTCTACTGCATTCATAACATTCCCCTGTCTTCTACTTTCAAAAAATGCAAAGAAACAACTAGCTATTAATAATATACATGATAATAGAAGCATGACTATTTTACGGATAATATTCCATGTACTTTCTTTAAACACTTCTTCTGTACATTTAGACGAGTGATTAGAATCACTGGAGTCTGCACTCATATTATGAATTATTCAGTTCATCTTTATATTCAAATGATCCGTTCTAGAAATAACTGTCCTAATAATACACATGAAGTAGAATTTGTATTTAATACCCCTATTGAAATTATATTAAATAGAGGAATGGGTGTATATACAACTTCTCTTTTTAATTTACTCTTCAATAATACTAATTATAAATCATTCTGTAATTGTTTTAAAAGAGTTAAAATATTTAAAGCATTGATTAGTCTCTCAATAGGAGAAATAAATGTAGAAGAAATAGGATTAAATTTTCCTATTGTTAGTACTACATGGTTTCAGACATATATTCGTTCCAATATTGATCAAGACACTGCTGATGACAAAGATATAAATAAAGTAATTAATATGATTAATTCAAGTACTCATTTACAACAACAAGTCTATTATCCAGGTGGAGCATTTCAAATTAATAGTATTATTAAAGCTATGACATTACAAGAACAAAACTATTATGGACCTACTAGAGTAGAAGGATATTGGAAATATGATTCACCTGAACTTCAACCATTTACAAATGAAAATGTAAGTATTCCTTTTTATCCATGGTACTTCATAGGAGTAGAAACACCAAATAACAATGATAATAAAAGTATTAAATTCAATTGTCAATGGTATATCACTGTTCATTTTGATAGATATATTTGCACTCCAATAGAAGAAGAACAAACAATGAATTTACTTGATTTAAATGTCAATTTAACTAATGAAGAAATCAAACAAAGAGAAACACTCACATATCAAGCAGAAAACAATTCAGCATATGAAAAAGTAACTATAGCATTTCCAGAAAAAGAAGAATCTACATTTATTTTAATTATAAAAGATAAACAAATATATTAATTAACTCATTTTTATCATTCATGTCTATCATTAACAAGACAACAAAACAAGAAACTTTAATAAGAAAAGATGAAATAAATAAAAATACATTCAAAGTAACAGTAAATACAGATGATGTAACTATCGAAACAACTACAAATGGAATAACAACATTCACCAGTGAAAATTACATTGACCGTATTCAATTAATCACTCAAGTACCTGAACCAAAAATACAAACAAAAGCAGTTACTATTACTGAAAATGGTTCATACACTATCAGTCCAGATGATAACCTTGATGCACTTGATCATGTCTATGTCACTGTAAATGTACCACAATATAAAATAGATTCTATAAAAATAAAGCAAAACGGTACTTATACATTAGCAACAGTAGCACCAGAAATAATAAATATTACAGAAGATAACACTAATATTGCAGATTTAATACCAGCAGATGGAAAATTACATAAAGTCATAAATAATAGTACAGAAGAATACATTAAAATTTATACTACCAAAACAAACAACGAACAATACATATCATTTAAACGTGGAGTTATTGATGACCTCGAAATAACAGAAATAGAAAGTGATGTTGTAACTTATTTGCAACAAAATACTCCTCGATATATATTAAAATTGTCTGTAAATTATATAAGTGAAGCGAAGATCGAATTTTGTGAAGGAACAACAGTAGAAAACACAATGGTATTATTTGATTATCAATCATATTATGCTAAATCACAACAGGCATCATCAGCATCTTCGTTAATAACAATACAACATAAAATAATTTCAGAAAACTTCCCAATAAAATAATTAAATTAATTTAAGCACTAATAAGTTTTTGGTTATCATTTGAAAACAATCCAGTAACAAATGTTTTACTAACAAGTACAACCGGATTCAATACTCCATTTCCTACTGTACCAGCAGCAACTGGTAATGCACCTGAAGCAATAGTAACTGCCGTATCTTCAACTGTTCCACTATAAGCATATAAAAGAGATCCAATTACATCAGTTGATGCACCAGTAGTAGTTTTAACATTAATTTTAACTTCTGAATTAGCACCAATAGAACTATCAGGTAAGTTAATTCCATAAATATCAAATTCATTACTTGCAATAACATAAGTATCAGCATCAGTTGAAATAGTAACAGTATGTGCATTAGTATTAGCATTACCAAATAAATAAGCAGATATATTATATCCTTTTACTCCAGCACCAAGAGTACCAGCAGTAGCAAATACAACTAAACGTACTCTCATAACACTTGAACTACCTCCATTAATAGTTAAAGCTTGATTACTTTGAGATGGTTGTTCTATACTAAATTGATCAAAATTCAAATCCATAGCATTAACTTGTGAAATTCCTGCATTATAAAATACATTATTCAAATACATCTTAAATGAATCAACTGTCCATGTATTAGATGAACTTGATAGTTGTCCACCTGTTGTTTGTACCATTGAAGTATAAATTGGATTATCTGTAGTAACAACTCCTCCATTGTTAGTTGTAGTCATACTAACAGGAATCATTGCATTATTTGTACCTGATGCAACTGTTCCAGCATTAGTATTAGCATAACCAAGTGAATTAGCAGCAGGTGTTGGAATAACATCAAGTGTACTTTTTCTCAATCCTCTAAGTGAAACAACCCATGACCATGTTAAATTAAATACAAGTGTTTGACATGTAGCTGTTTGATTTCCTAAAAGAACAGAAAGTAAGAAATCAGGATTCCATGCTGCATATAAAGTAGATTCAGTTAATACTTCAGCAGTCTTTACTGTTGGAAGATAAATACTCTTCTCCTGTAATGAAGATGCAACAAGTCTTCTTGTAATACCCCATCTAGCTCCTGGATAATATGCTCTACTTACTGCACTTGAATATGAACTTACTTGATAAGGACCTGGTACTATTGGTACATTACTTAATACACCTTGTCCTTCTTGTGTTACTTGACTTGCTACTGCTTTATCTATACCATTTCTATCCCATGCAGTGATAACATTAGGAAATGTCATTGCAGCTTGACCAAATGTATTGTAAACAATTTCAGCTGACACTGACACTCCATCTATTTTAAATTGATCATACATTCCAGCATAATATTGGAAGAATTCCGTGCCGCAAAGCAATTTAGTAACATTCCTTACAGTTGTAGCACCATTAGTATTTGCTGGAATAGCTAATTGTACTGTTTCAGTAGCATTCAACACTACTTGAGTTGAATCTCTTTGTTGAAAAGCAGCTTTTAAATTCCCAGCCATAGTACTTCTTAAATTTCTTCTAGTTGAAGTTGGTCTAGTAGCCGTGGCTCTTCTTGTACGTCTCATTTATTTCAATAACTCAGTTGAATCTAAATTGGAGTTTAAATAGCTGAAGCTAGCATGATACATAATATATGATGGATAATGATATCCTGTATTAAAATGATGTATAAACCCGTAAGAAATTAAATAATCGTTTTAGTCGTAATCATAATGTGAAGAGGATCACAGTAACACAGTGGATGGGATAACTGAACCTGATTATGATTAAAAAAGATTTTTAATGCTAAAAGGGTCGTAAACTCCCATTATCAATACATCTATTATCATTAATCCTTCATCATTAATTTGTGACATGCAGCTGACGTGGCATTTTGTATAATAATTATTGTACCACAATATTATACTAACCACAATCGTGCGTAGCACGATATTGCCCCTTCGGGGCAATTGTGGTTAGTATAATATTGTGGTACAATAATTATTATACAAAAT